CACTGTTTTCTATTTTCGGGCATATGGAACCATCAATAAAGTTGTACATCCCTAGCGCATGTTTGGATTCCGCCTGAGCAGCCTGGTTTGTGACGCTAGTATTTTCATTGTGACTCTGCAACATACAAAAATAATGACGCCATACCATTGTGACTGTAAACATTACGTAATTAACGCAATTTAAAATTGTAGTCGACTGACCTATCAGAATCGAGTATACGCGAAAGTGATGGAAGAATATATTGTTGAAAGGATGGTAATCCCAAATCACCTCATCTATCCACCCTAATGGGTAATAAAGCATAATGATTTTCAGAACAAGGGAAAAGTTAGCAAAGCTCACACACCCCGGCCTGCAGCTTTCGCTAGCAACCAAATACATACATTGTATATTGAAAACAAATATGTTCTTAGTTTGTTAGAGCTTTCGGTGTGAATGCGTAATGATGGGCAAACAGAATGAAAGGTATGGAATTTATAAATTGTGACCTCTCACTGTTTATATAGAAGATCAAACACTGTGTTCTGTTGTTACCGATAAATCTACACACGAGTGATTAATCTGTCACGATTAGAACGAGGCTCTTTAAAGCTAATTTTACAGTGAATAATTTAATATGTAAAATGATGATTATTTCATATCATCTTTTTTTGTTTTTGTTTTGTTCCTGAACATGGTGAGCACATGCATTTTTATTATATATATAAAAAACTTAATTAGTGGACAATTTTTCTTTTGAACATAATATTTAACATCATGGCATCAAAAATGTTACTAAATGAGCTATCTAATTTCCCCATATTTGTGAATGACAAGAAACAATGTGAATTTGACAAGCACAATACTTTATTGTGTATGAAACATAAATACATAGGATATATGTAAACAATAAATTATCATTTCAATAGTTCTACAAATATTGGCATTTTAAAACCCTTGTAATGTTACATTGTTATTTTACGGCAACAGTTACCTCCAAACGTTATTCTTTTCTTATTTTATCAGATTAGAAGTTAAGACTTACTGATAATAGGTAAGTTAAAATTAACATTTTCTTCTTTTTATCTTCATGAAAACAAGACTCATAATAAATATGTATTTTAGTGACCTGTTCATATATGATTTTTTGTAAAAAGTATTAAAAATAAAATTAGACATTGCTAATGTAAAGAAATGAGGTTTATGATGAAATGTTATAAGAGGACCTCTTGTTGGTCATTTCTTCATTACCCATAAATTTGAGTTTTTCTTTACTTACCATGTTCTGAAAATTTACACATTACACATGAGAATAATTTAAGGTCTCTGAATAAAATAGCGACCCAGCTTTCCACTGTCAGGCAGCCAATTAGATTATGTGTAGAAACCCACTGTAAACCTTGTAATGGGAGAATAATAAATAAGAAATACATTTCTTATTTTGTCATATGTCCAGTTTATCATCCCAAGAAATGCTAAATAATTATCATTAAAATTAAGCTAGCTTTGCATATTGGGGCTCTTTATCTGCTATGATAATATAACAATTGCATTATTAAAGAAGTGGGTTTTTTCAGTAAATATTGTAAATAATAAATCTTTGGTTTAAAGAATATACTTGAGACAAACATAATTCGAAATGTCTTTAATACTCTGTTTTGTCTGTTAATTCTGAAAATAATTAACTGTGATATTGAGTTTCTACCTAAAACTAATTATATGAAATTAATTTTAAGATTATTTCATCCTATCTAAAATACAAAATATATTTTAAGATGCATCTGTAAGATGCAGATGTAAATCATTGTTGAAAATAAATAAATAATGTTTTTGAAAAAAATACCTAATAAGGTTGATTGGTGCCCACCATGTTTATCTTCATCATTTTGTCTGCTCCCTATAAGAAATCAAAATAGTAAAGAAAAAATATAAATACATATATTACTTTTTTGATTTAGGTATGACTTAATACATTCAAGTTTAAACGTGGTAATGTTGTTTTTTTTATAATGAGTTTCATAATTGTCCTGAGATAGTATGTTTAAATAATTGAAGTCTTTATGTTTAAAAAAACCCAAATAATCATAGGCCAAAATAAATTAATCATATAGATCTGGATAAACTCCACCTGTTGAAAGGGGAAACATCTTGCTCGTGAGCTGTACAGTCCGTCCGGCAAAGATTGATCGTTTCCTGCATTAACATTGAATATTGCTTTAGATCCAAATTATTTGAGTCTTTATTTTCTTAAAATATGAAATTTAAGTCTCGATTATTTTAATATAACTATGAAATATGTTTTTGATCGATCGGCTCTAGATCAACACTTCATTATAACGTGACATTTATTATGTGGTTGATAGTTTTTTTTTTTTAAAATATCAAAAACAATATGGTTTGTTTCACTATTTCATCAGTATTTTTACATGAATTAATTAACTGTTTCATTACTTTGTTATTAGCCTTGAAAACGCCCAGTAAAGAATGTACCGGAAGGGCTCACCTGGTCCCATAATATCGATGCGGTATCTCGCTTCGGTTACCGTCTCCCCATTCTGCAACTGAATCTCATACATTGGAAAGCCGAAATTTCTGTGATATATCTCCACATGTCACATCCCTTCTTCCCCCCAAAATTTTCTCTCGGTCACCAACTTTCGGAGATCGAAACATCGTCACTACGGTAATGTTTCGCCAGCTGGGGATTTCCTGTACCAGACGACCTCGGGTATCCCTGATCCGAAAAAAGTGCCGTCAAATATTTTTAGCCAGCCAATCAAAACGCGATGACACAGCTCTCCACTCTCAGCCAGCCAATCAGATTGGGTGAATAAAAATAAACCACTGCGAATAAACCACTGCTGGCGATTGAAGATCAAGCCCTGTTATGGGAGAAATGTACATAAATTGCAGATGCAGTCAACACGTTTCCACTGTAATGTCAAAGATTGTGGATGTTGGGGCTTGCAAGTGGTATAAACCAATTTTAATTTCTGCTTGGGAAATTAGGTTGGTGTGTGTCAAAATGTTTTTTGACAATACCAAATGATGTTTGAGTGCTGCCCTTGATATGCGTATGTTTCAGAAATCCTTAATAGCAAACAGCACCTTTCTACAAATTGGCTGATTTATGTATAACGTTAAACTGAGAAAATATTTAACCGTTAAGTTCTGTTTTCGAAATTACGCTTATTACCAAAATGTGTTACGTTTCCATGGAAACTGAAACAAAACCAACATCAAATATACCTAATAGCAAAAGGCACCAATCCTGTACTTGACTGACCCATTTACTAAGTTTGGATGAAATAAATTAAACGGTTTTCAAGTTCTGCTCCGGAAATGAACCTACCACAGTGAGAGTCGCGGTTTGCCAAGATAGACCACGGTTGGTGGCCAGCTGCAGGTTGTTGAGTGACAAGTGTAGGTGATGTTTCATTTCAAAAGGATAACAGATTTGAAACATGACCTCTGACTCACTCTAACTCTCTCTCTCACTCACTCTATCACTCAATCAATCACTCAAGCTATCTCTCACTCAATCACACTCTCACTCACTCTCTCTCTATCTCGCTCTCTCTCTCCCTCTTACTCTCACTCTCCTGAAAGAAGAATGGTCATTAATTTATGTATACACATAGATTTCATCTAAATTAAAAGATTCTTTAGAGCTTAATATGACTCCCTTGCAATAAAACTGACAATTGGTCCACATTAGTTCCCATCTCTTGTAAGTAGCGAGAGTGAGTGAGTGTGTTGGGGTTTAACGCCGCTTTCAACGGTATCCTGGTCATATCATGGCGGCCAGTGTTAAGGTCAGGAGGAAAACTTGCATCACCATGGTGGTTATGTGTTGCAGTGAAACCTGCGAGTATCGGCTGGTACTGGCGAACCAAGGGTGATAGTGCACTGCGTCGCACTGCTGCATTGCCCACTGTCCACACTGTGTGTAGAACTGTTCTTCACAGCAGAGAAGATATCGAGCCCCTCTTAGTCCGCAGGCAGAAGCGCTATCACGCCCCAAAGTAGCGAAGAAGAATGAGTACAGGAGGTATAGGCAACGTTTAATTATGGATATTTTTTCAGCACTGAAATGAAAGGCCATTACATGTTAGTGTTGGAGTTTAATGCGGGTCGTGATTAGATTTTGAAGGTTTTTTTATTTTAGGTTCATTTTTCAAAGTTGAATTAAGACCCCGAAGGGCGTTGGGAAATGAACCGGTTCATTTTTCAATGACAAGGGTCATTATTCAACGTTGAAAACAGAACGTTACACCGGAACTTACGTATATACATGCACGTGGGTCAATGACCTTGCCCCACGTTATGTAATACCTCTATCTACAAACCTGACTGACATGGAGACGGGGCAGATCATCGACTCGTGTAAGTGATAGAACATGGTATCCTCACCCGGGATCATTGCCAACTCGGTCCTGGTGTGCGTTCTGTCACACTATTATCAACCTGTACCCTTTTGACTTATTTCACCCTGAATCAATAACCATGGCTGCTGTCGTCTCAAACTTCACCCCTGAGTTTTGTCTTCCGTCATCACACTGAGCAACCATCTGATGGCACAACTGATACGTTCTGGACACCACTTTATTACTTGTTTTCTTAATAACCCCTTGGCCAGAAGGTGAAGGTATTACAATGTAAGCCAAACCAATATGGTGATTGGTTTTGGTCATACTGTCACAAATGTATTTCTAAGTGCAATGGCACAACCGTACTTCTGTCTGTGCGTAAATAAACCTGCAATACCAAGATCCCCACTCGTTTTCTGTACAAGCATGTTTCTTCTTCATCTCCACCCATCGCACTTCCTACACAATCAAAAGGTAGGTTAGTAGAGACTCCGGCTCGTGATGCCGGAGACAGTTGCCCGCCTTGTGTTTTCCGTGTGTTTGCTTGCGATCGTTGGACTTACTTGTGTGTGCTTATCATGAAAGCTACGTTTGAATGTCTTCCTGAAGCTGGTCAGAAATCTTTCACGTGTCATTAGATAACATGCTCAGACATCTGAGAAGCATTTATTTCGATGGAAGCTTACAATAGTACTGCGAACAGCGTAAAAAGCCAACCTAGAACTTGCAGTTAGTTGACTTTTGCCGCCATAACCAAATCAAGAAAATTACCAAATATATACAACTTGAATAGCCTTATAAGAAATAGTTCATAGATATACATCATAAAAGCTTGTATCAGGGAACTATGGACGCGACTAGAAGAACACACCAAGCCACTTCAGGTTAATTTCAAGTCAGTCAATCGATCTGCGATAGCCCGGTATAAGCCAACATTCAGTGAAGAACGAATTAACAACACACACAGGTCGTGTTCAAGGTGCAAGGCTACATGTGACTACACTACAGTCACCCAGGAAGATATTTCCCAAGTATAGTGTTTGTTATGTTCGGCAACACTTGGTACATTGTTAAGCCAACATAAGTTGTATACTTCACGACACCCGATACAAGGGATTGCACACATACTAGTATACATAAAGCAAGCTCTTTTCGTCCAGGTCATTCGGTAATGGACACTATTGCTTGCTTCTCTTGAAATGTAATTGCGTTTTTCTTTATAACAAATAACCAATCCAGAAAATAATATGGGATTCGGTAGTTAGGAATATATATGGAGGCCTGGTTGCTTAAGACTCCAGCTCCATTTAACTTGGACTGGAGAAGTTAAGATTATGGCTGTAGGTTCACGTCTTTCACATGTAACTTACAAGTAACACTTACTTACACACCGTGTTATTGTGATACAGCTGCGACTGGCGGTGACTACAGGCAGCGGCTGCAAATGTCAACCGCAGCGAGGTTACTTCGTCAACTACGACGTCTCACAGGCCTCAAACATCCTCAATAGCCTAACGATGACGATGGACTCTACACAGACTGTATTGTAAGAAAGATTTGTGTGGAGATCCTTGCATCGTAGTTATATCACAGTCTCACACCAAGGTCACAAAGTGAAAACATTAATGTGTCAATGCAGGACTTACTATGTAGACATACCACAGACACATAGCTAGACTTACCCTACCAGGTCTATTTGTTAGTCAGATACATAGCCTGTCCACAACAAGGGTGTTGTATACATTTCAAATTTTAAAGTATAAATATCATGTGTCCGAGAATTGGGAAAACAGATTGATATGAAGCATATATTTCAACTGTCATTGTTTTTCCTACTTTGCCTGACCTGTAATGATGAGTGAATGACATGTGGTCAGCGGTCATACGGTCAGTGGTCAGCGGTCAACGGTCAGCGGTCAGCGGTCAGTGGTCAACGGTCAACGGGCAACGGTCAGCGGTCAGTGGTCAACGGTCAACGGTCATTGGTCAGCGGTCAGTGGTCAACGGTCAGTGGTCAAAGGTCAACGGTCAGTGGTCAGCGGTCAGTGGTCAGCGATCAGTGGTCAACAGTCAGCGGTCAGCGGTCAATGGTCAGCGGTCAGCGGTGAGTGGTCAACTGTCAGTGGTGAACGGTCAGCGGTCAATGGTCAGTGGTCAACGGTCAGTGGTCAGCGGTCAACGGTCAGCAGTCAGCGGTCAGTGGTCAACGGTCAGTGGTCAGTGGTCAACGGTCAGCGGTCAGTGGTCAGCGCTCAGTGGTCAGCGGTCAGCGGTCAGCGGTCAACGGTCAACGGTCAGTGGTCAGTGGTCAACGGTCAGCGGTCAGTGGTCAACGGTCAGCGGTCAGCGGTCAGTGGTCAACAGTCAGCGGTCAGTGGTCAGCGGTCAGCGGTCATAACATCACATGACGGGTGGGTGTCCTTGTGTGGGGGGTGTTTGTCGTCTCTCACGTCAGCCTTGACATAACCTTCAATGTAGTCTCTCTGTAGGGTCGAGGTCAAGAATGGTTGGAAATATTTGTAGATTGCTTGGCGCATGGTTACTTCTGACCTGCTATGATCAAACGACAGAAAACACTGAGATGTGCTGGCCGAGGCATACGTACTGACACAGACACCTGTTGTTGGGCTCCAAGTAGGCTGGGCAATATGTCACATACTCTATTCCCATCAGAACCATTTGGGATGAAAGTTGTGATGCTCATATATAAAACAAAATGGAATGCATAAAACCTGAATACTGGCAACCACACATACACACACGTTAAAGCGGTGCAACGCTTTGATATGCTTTGGTTTCTTTTCTTGTTTGTAGCAAGTTGCCTTCTTTAACATAATGACAATATTTGCGAGAGTATTTTACATTAATTTTTTTGTTTGGTATTGATGTCTGTCTCCTCTTCATTAGCGGGTGATGCTAGTGTTCTCTTTGGGTTGGTGAGTTGGCCAGGTTAAGACAGTAACATACGCAAACGCGTTTATGCACGGGATGCGGGGCTCTAGAAAGCTGTGGTAGGTGAGTGAGTGAGTATGGTTTTACGCCGCTTTTAGCAATATTCCAGCAAAATCACGGCGGTGGACACCAGAAAAGGGCTTCACAAATGGTACCCATGTGGGGAATCAAACCCTGGTCTTCGGCGTGACGAACCAACGCTTTAACCACTAGGCTACCCACCGCCCCTCTGTGGTAGATCGCCAAACAGTCACTTATCTATAAAATTTCACTTCAGTTTCACAGAAATCGTTAAAAAGATCATTGACTTCCTGCAGCTTGCTGTCGTCGATATCCTGAACAAACTCCCGGGTATCCTGGAGGCAATCCGTTTCCAAGCTCTGCATGGTCTTGAGCAATTTCTTACCGGCAGGTGTGTCGCTTTCCATGAGTGCTCTACCCTTCTCATGAGCTTTGAACAACAGGTGGCGCCTATCAACGGCAGTTTGAAAACTTGACCGGGCCTTGTCACCATAATTAGGAGAAACGGTAAAATTTCCGAGCGAAGGTTCAGGAGAGAACAAGAAAGGCTTGAAAACTGAAAGACTTGGGTTAGGCGTGGCTGTGAACCAGTGAATATCCATGGACTTTGACCCCTCCGGGCGGAGGAGACTGACCTGACTTGACATTGTCTGCAACTCGCCACTGAAGTTGATGCTACTTCCTTCATCACGCAGTATGTTGAAAATGTCGTTCTGGTTCAGCTTACCTGAAAATTTGACAAAGAATCTTGGTTTAATCCAAGCTATGATCTCAGTACAAAAATCATTTGATTGAAAGGCTATGCCAAGTGCCACAGGAACAGATTTCACTGTGAAACATTAGCAGTACACATCCTAATTTACCAATACACACACACACACACACACACACCTATCTATCAAATATAGTTTACCACGCCTCAGCCTGACGTACCTTCGTTTGAGGCTGCCTCCAAGAGTTCCTTCCCCTTATGCAGTCTGTTGGTGGCAACCTGAGCCTCGGACAGCGACATTCCAGTGAAAGTACCCCCGAACACGTTGGTGAAGTTGAAGTTCCCGTCCTCCGATTTCCAATATCCCTCCGCCTTTGCTTGCTCCTGGAGACCACTGGAGCTGGCATCAAAGTCCGAACCGATAGTAAGAGTGCTTGAGATGTTGTAGGTACCGCCTGGGTCACGAAGACAAACATATGTTACGTAATTCCAACGTCAGAGGCATAAAATCATGGCGTAGTGAAGATCAAATAGGATTTTGTAAAACTTCATTTATCTAAAATAGTTGTAGGTGCCGCCTGGGTCACGAAGACAAACATATGTTACGTAATTCCAACGTCCTAGGCATAAAATCATGGAGTAGTGAAGATCAAATAGGATTTTGTAAAACTTCATTTATCTAAAATAGTTGTAGGTGCCGCCTGGGTCACGAAGACAAACATATGTTACGTAATTCCAACGTCCTAGGCATAAAATCATGGAGTAGTGAAGATCAATTAGGATTTTTTAAAACTTTATTTATCTAAAATATTTCAGTATGTTCCTATAGTGCACCGAAATTTCTTCTTCTTTGTCTGTTTAATATATTCAGCAACATTCGGCGTATTCATTCTAATCATAGGCCCACTCCGGGCAGGACCCTTAATCCCAAGCGCTATCTATAAATGTCAGTTTACACTTCCTTACGTCACCGGATCTTACTAATGTACATGTTTGTTGGTCACTGGTCTTGCGCAACCTTATGTAATTCATCTCCCTACAAAATCTGCACGACATTGCCAAACGGAGATCGGCCCAGATCATGGACAGGAGCGGACCGATTGTACGGCTAGTCGTGGCATCGGTTATGACCACTGCATTACCACTGACGACATCGAAGATGAAGAATCGACTTCCGGCTTCACGTATGTGTGTATAAGTGACAATGCGTGCGTTCTTTCACGTGATTACCATTACTTGTACAATTTCTACCTTTTTCAACCTGCAACAAAAAACCTGGCTACTGTCGTCCAATTTCACGCCTGAGTTTTGTCTTCCACTGACCGAACTGCCGTGGTCTTGGACAATCCTTTAAAATGATGTAATGATGTACATGTAGCTTGGTGCATTACACAAGATAAGCAGTCACAATAATGGCCTACATTTGGTATACGTCCGTAATAAGTCGTCATTGTTCTATTTTGTTATGTGCTTCTTACTTGTCAACTTGTGAGCTGCCCAGAACTGTCCAGCTGTGTCCAGAACCCACGCCTCTGAGCGGTCAGCGATGAGGAAACTACTGTGGTATGTCCACTGACTGAAGCTGTGGTCCTCTGCACATGGCCCACCCTGTCCATAGCGCTCCAGCAGTCCTGTGATCACATCAAGGGCGTCCTTGGCGGACTTACTTCTCTCAAGGCCCAGTCTGAATGCAGGAGACAAACGCCTAAATGGACGCATGGTGGCGAGAGAGGAGCGAGGTGGAATACGGTATATGATGTATACCTATTAGGAACATTAACTTCCTGACATCCACGAAACATACACAATCTGTAAACTCGTCTTCAAATATTGACATGCAGGAATTACTGAGATCAATATACGAGTCTCATTTAAAGGATTCCAAACAAAAACAGAAACATATATACATGTACTTGTATACCCGTTGTTAACTCTTCTGAGACACTAATTAAGAATGCGATTTGTAGAAACTATAAGTAGAAAAAACATATCTCCATCCACTCTAAATTAAATTTAGATTGATATCAACGGCAAATATATTGAACATAACGTAATATCAATACACAAACTGAGAAAGGTAAAAGGTCATATCAAACAAACCTTACAAAATCTACACCAATTAGTTTTTCTGCGTGGTCGCCTGGATGACACAATTTGGTCCACACCGCCGTGCTGCCGACGCAGACGCCATTCTCATTCGCTCCCATCTCGGCCCCCCACGCCCAAGCCGGTTTGCTGAGTACTGCCCCATACGTGTGGGAGACCTGGTCAACCTCGATAAATGTACACTGCAAACAAGCCAAGTACTAGTTGACATTCTTGGGGTTGGAGTGTACAGGGGTGGGGTGGTTGGCCCGGCGGTATATTTGAGTGGGATGGCTGAGCTGTTGTTTTTTAATTCGACGCGTTTCATTGAAAACTTATTTTTTTATTTCCGAAGGCAATAAGCCAAATCTTCTGTTTAACCAAATGACAAACCTGCAATCCTGTTTCGCTTTACAAGTCCAACATGGCTACCGATTTTAGTGAAGAGGAACCTATCTCCGACAAATATACCCTGTTACTGACATCATATGACTTAGCAAATAAATGGTTGCCTTATTATGACAAATAATGAACCAAGTGCAATTTCCGAAAGAGCATATTATCTTTTCAGATGTGTGTCAAAGCATACATACACCGGCCTGATAAGTCGACGTTTATATCTACTCAGACACTGTTGTACTGGTGCAATATGCAATAATTATGATGAACAATATGCGGGCTATGAAAAGTAATTATAATGAACAATATAAAGGTATTAAGATGATATCCTCATGGTGAACATATACGGGTACTTTGAGATACTCATTGTTAACATAAACAGGATATATGATATCCTAGGTGAACAATAGATATCTGATAGAAAGAAACGCTCACGTGAAGCTTCCCTCCGGCGTCGTGGTCAGATGGGGGGACATATATGACCTCTTGTACTTCTGACACCGGTCGGTCCGCGTTCTTCCCGAATAGAACACTGCCGTCAACCGTTGCACCAGGCAGAGCCAAGAAGATGTCGGACATTGTCTACCAATCTGTAGTACATGACATATGTTCTAATCACATAACATAAGTACTCTAGTAGTCATTTTATTTACACTACTCACTGAATATGAATTAATCATTATACATGTACTTGTCGTCTTACATGCACTAGTCATTGTGGACGTACTAGTCATTACATATGTACAAGTCAGTACTAGCCATGCATGTAATAATCATAACACATGTTCTAGTCTTGCATGTGATAATCACAACTCATGTCCTAGTCACAAATACATTTAACAAGTGAACTATGTACACGTTAACAGTAATAGTTAATAGCTCTCAGAAATGTTGACTACATACTACAGTGATTTTACACTTGAAGTCATAAAATAGAACTGTGCACTTGTAGATACACAAATGTTACACCATTCCCCGGAACAACACTTGTGTACACCCATTACATAAACTGACGCTCAAACGGAAGTATATACCGATGCCTGATAGTAGCTATTTATATATTTTCGATGGTGATGCATTTGATACGGGTATCACAGGCGGTATTTCGTGCATCACAACACTGAGTATCTCACAACATGGTACAAGCACATGCCGTCCCAAGGAACATGGGGGTCGCAATTTCACAGGACAAAGTAATGAGCCGAGTGAAGTATGAATTGTCAAGTGTAGGTATACTTTCTTTTGCCCGGCAGTTTAGAAAAGCCAGGTGTGCACACTGTTTATCACTCTCACTATCGGCATGGAACAAGATGCCAACGAATCAGTAAATCAGTCGCGAGTGCAATGAGCTGCGGAAGAAAAGAGTTCATATTTCCAAATCATCTCGATGGGAGACAGCTAGACGACCTCTGTTGGTACATCAGCCCATAGAGTGACAGCAAGACGACGACCACTGTGGGTACATCAGCTCATGGAGTGACAGCAAGACGACCACTGTGGGTACATCAGCTCATGGAGTGACAGCTAGACGACCACTGTGGGTACATCAGCTCATGGAGTGACTGCTAGACGACCACTGTGGGTACATCAGCTCATGGAGTGACAGCAAGACGACCTCTGTTGGTACAGCAGCTCATGGAGTGCCAACAAGACGACCTCTGTTGGTACAGCAGCCCATGGAGTGCCAACAAGACGACCTCTGTTGGTACAGCAGCCCATGGAGTGCCAACAAGACGACCTCTGTTGGTACAGCAGCTCATGGAGTGCCAGAACGACGACCTCGGGCGGTGCAGCAGCCCATGGAGTGACAACAAGACGACGACCACAATTGGCACACCAGCTCATGGAGTACCAGCAAGACGACCTCTGTGGGTACATCAGCCCATGAGTGCCAGAACGACGACCTCGGGTGGTACATTAGCTCATGGAGTGACAGCAAGACGACCACTGTTGGTACAACAGCCCATGGAGTGACAGCAAGACGACCTCTGTTGGTACAGCAGCCCATGGAGTGCCAACAAGACGACCACTCTGGTACAGCTAGCCAATGGAGTGACAGCAAGACGACGACCACAATGGGTACAGCAGCCCATGGAGTGACAGCAAGACGACCACTGTGTTATAGCTAGCCATGGAGTGACAGCAAGACGAAGACCACAATGAGTACATCAGCCAATGGAGTGACAGCAAGACGACCACTGCGTTACAGCTAGCCATGCATAAACATGCACGTGCGAGTTGTAAATCACGACCCGAAAGTCCAGGAGATGTTTTCATGAATATGTATTGAAAGATACATCATTTTATTTCAAAATATATTTTATTTTTATTGAACTTTATGAGGCCCAGTTATTATTTTCCGTGGTATATCTCTCTTACTCATTCTCAGTCTTCATTTTCACCGTGTTTCCTCTATCATACCATCGCTCCTTTGACCTGGATTTACACTCAAAGTTGTGCCTGCTAATGGCTACAGTGACATTTATCGTTGACCCAACTGAGGGCAATAAGAAGTCAATTACAGCTGATAAGCATATCAAGGTTGAACACAACATAATATTATCGTCAAACACTTCATGAAAGCAACTTGTCAATCGATGAAAACATGGATAATGGTGACGAATATTACAAGCTGCTTTGCCGCCATTTTTTACACCCCCCCCCCCCCCCCCCCCCCCACGCACACACGCACTCAAGCACACACACACACACACACACACACACACACACACACACACACACACACACACACACACACACACACACACACACACACACACTAACTAACTAACTAACTAACTAACTAACTAACTAACTAACTAACTAACTAACTAACTAACTAACTAACTAACTAACACACACACACACTAACACTAACACACACTAACACACACACACACACACACACTAACACACACACTAACACACTAACACTAACACTAACACTAACACCAACCAGAATCGTTGCCTTTATGTAGTTGACGTACGTGTAATCAACATATGTCCGCATGACCTAACGAATCTGTATTCCCTGGTTGTTCTCCGTGTATGATTGCATGTTCATATGTACAAAGGCTATTACATCACCGGGAAGATGTAGCTTGAGATCAGACTTCAGAAATTAGGCAAGGCACGGCGTTATCCAATTATAAATAAAATATTTAAATTCGTTTAAAATGCTTTCACTACAATAAAAAAGTTTCCCTGTTAATCAATGTACCAGCCTGTAGAGCCACGGCGTGAGGTCAGCCGACATGTGAGGCTTGTGATAAAGCTGCATTAGTCACGATGTCTGAGATAGCAGCAGCTCACAGCCTGTACAGTCGCACCTGTTGGAGTCACCTTAGTGTTCAGCTGCACGTTCATCTAACGAAAGGCGGTGTTTGATCATCACAGCCTTACTATGCTGGCTGTGTCAACGTGTCAGCTCATACGCTGGCACATCACGGCCTGCTACATGCACACTGACATTGTACAAAACAAAGAATATCAATAACAATACCAACACATACTTTCACATAAACAAACTCACATCTCTGATTATTCGTTTGTTATATTTTGTTCTCATTATGTTTGTGTTGGGATCTGTGAATATCACATCATTACACCGTCACTTCACCAATGTTGAAGCGCTGCTCACTAACCGTTCACGAATATCTCTTTCCAGCATTCCTAGAGCGGCTGCTCAAGCACGTATATTAAATCAATTTACTCATGAAGTGTGGCATTTTCGATAAGTATCACGTGGTGAATTAGTCTAATGATTCTGGCAATGAGTTGCCACATCTTAAATAATATTTATGGGTATAGTACATGTGCACATGTATACAATTCCACACAATACACCTTCATAGATATATTTTTTCAATGTATGTAGTGGTTATAATATAAGTGTACGCGGAATAGAATAGAGACACAGCTGTGATTCAGTCACACTGATGTTACAAAAGACATTGCATTTTTGTCCCATGCTTATAGCTCTTCTGTCATTTGTGCAATAAATAACTGACATTCAGTCATGTCAACATGGATAATAGGGTAAATAGAGACACACTTTAAAAAATTCACAGCTAGTAAATACTGCAAAATCATATTTTGATGTCCAGTTATTCGTTTAACATGTATGTTCAATCGAAATATTATGTGCAAAATGTTTGACAATGTAAAGTTTTAGCGACCTTTGAACGTGCCTAACAGCTTTAAAACTACCCTAGAATGGGATGTATAACATGTCTATACTAATCCAGTACACAGTTACATAACACAGCTACGATGCGCATATATACTATTCAACTAACAATAAGTTCGCTTGTCTCCTTCTGAACATGATCATACCCAATCCATGACAACCTTTATTATCTACCTTGGACCAGGACCCATATGGTCTCTGATTGGAATCCTACTCACAACAAGTGTACCACGTGTGAAACGTTTGACACGTGAGAAAAAATATTATCATGCAAAAGTGTGAATACAGGAATCACAGTGATAAAATGTGTAACACGCCTGAAGGCAGGAAACACAGTGACAACATGTGTCACACGTGTGAGGACAGGAAACACAGTGACAACATGTGTCACACACCTAAAGACAGGAAACACAGTGACAACATGTGTCACACGTGTGAAGACAGGAAACACGGTGACAACATGTGTCACACGTGTGAAGACAGGAACACTGTCACAACATGTGTGACACGCCTGTAGATAGGAAACACAGTGACAACATGTGTCACACGTGTGAAGACAGGAAACACAGTAACAACATGTGTGACACATCTGCAGATAGGAAACAAAGTAACAACATGTGTCACTCGTGTAAAGACAGGAACACTGTAACAACATGTGTCCCACGTGTGAAGACAGGAAACACAATAAGAACATGTGTGACACGCCTGTAGATAGGAAACACAGTAACAATATGTGTCACTCGTGTGAAGACAGGAAACACAGTAACAACATGTGTGACACGCGTGAATATAGGAAACGCAGTAAAAACATGTGTCACACGTGTGAAGACAGGAAACACAATGACAACATGTGTCAGACACCTTAAGACAGGAAACACAGTGACAACATATGTCACACGTGTGAAGACAGGAAACACAGTAACAACATGTGTCACATGTGTGAAGACAGGAACACTGTAACAACATGTGTCACACGTGTGAAGACAGGAAACACAGTAACCACATCTGTGAAACGCCTGAAAATAGGAAACACATCGACAACATGTGTCACACGTGTGAAGACAGGAAACACAGTAACAACATGTGTGACACATCTGCAGATAGGAAACACAGTAACAACATGTGTCACTCGTGTAAAGACAGGAACACTGTAACAACATGTGTCACACGTGTGAAGACAGGAAACACAATAAGAACATGTGTGACACGCCTGTAGATAGGAAACACAGTGACAACATGTGTCGCTCGTGTGAAGACAGGAAACACAGTAACAACATGTGTGACACGCGTGAATATAGGAAACACAGTAACAACATGTGTCACACGTGTGAAGACAGGAAACACAGTGACAACATGTGTCACACACCTTAAGACAGGAAACACAGTGACAACATATGTCACACGTGTGAAGACAGGAAACACAGTAACAACATGTGTCACACGTGTGAAGACAGGAAACACAGTAACAACATGTGTGACACGCCTGTAGATAGGAAACACATTGACAACATGTGTCACACGTGTGAAGACAGGAAACACAGTAACAACATGTGTGACACATCTGCAGATAGGAAACACAGTAACAACATGTGTCACTCGTGTAAAGACAGGAACACTGTAACAACATGTGTCCCACGTGTGAAGACAGGAAACACAATAACAACATGTGTGACACGCCTGTAGATAGGAAACACAGTAACAACATGTGTCACTCGTGTGAAGACAGGAAACACAGTAACAACATGTGTGACACGCGTGAATATAGGAAACACAGTAACAACATGTGTCACACGCGTGAAGACAGGAAACACAGTAACAACATGTGTGACACGTGTGAATATAGGAAACACTGTAACAACATGTGTGACACGTGTGAAGACAGGAAACACAGTAACAACATGTGACAAGCCTGAAGATAGGAAACACAGTGATAACATGTGACACGTCTGAAGATAGGAAACACAGTAACAACATGTGACACGCCTGTAGATAGGAAACACAGTAACAACATGTGTCACACGTGTGAAGACAGGAAACACAGTAACAACATGTGTCACACGCGTGGAGACAGGAACACTGTAACAACATGTGTCACACGTGTGAAGACAGGAAACACAGTAACCACATCTGTGACACGCCTGAAAATAGGAAGAACATCGACAACATGTGTCACACGTGTGAAGACAGGAAACACAGTAACAACATGTGTGACACGCCTGAAGATAGGAAACACAGTAACAACATGTTTGACACGTGTGAAGACAGGAAACACAGTAACAACATGTGTCACACGTGTGAAGACAGGAAACACAGTGACAACATGTGTCACACGTGTGAAGACAGGAAACACAATAAGAACATGTGTGACACGTGTGAAGATAGGAAACGCAGTAACAACATGTGTCACACGTGTGAAGGCAGGAATCACAGTGACAACATGTTTCACACGTGTGAAATGAGGAAACACAGTAACAACATGTGTCACACGCCTGAAGATAGGAAACACAGTAACAACATGTGTAACACGTGTGAAGACAGGAACACTGTAACAACATGTGTCACACGTGTGAAGATAGGAAACACAGTAACAACATGTGTGACACGCCTGTAGATAGGAAACACAGTGACAACATGTGTCACTCGTGTAAAGACAGGAACACTGTAACAACATGTGTGACACGTGTGAAGACAGGAAACACAGTAACAACATGTGTGAGACGCCTGAAGATAGGAAACACAGTGACAACATGGGTCACACGTGTAAAGACAGAAAACACAGTAACAACATGTGTGACACATCTGGGAATCACAGTGACACCTGTGAAGACAGAAATCCAGATTAGTGCCATGACGTACACAATATTTTCAAATAAACAGAATCCAGAAAACATCATAGGGGGAGATTAAATATCATGTCATAACATAATAGTCAAAGTATATCAGCCATGGTCACCATGGCCTGGGGTCCTGTATCTTCATACCTCCAGCCACTGGCGGGGCCCTGGATGGTGTTGTGGTAATATGACTGTTGGGATGTTCGTGATCATTCTTCATTGTGGTAATATGACTGTCGGGGTGTTCATGATCATTCTTCATTGTGGTAATATGACTGTTGGGGTGTTCGTGATCATTCTTCATTGTGGTAATATGACTGTCGGGGTGTTCATGATCATTCTTCATTGTGATAATATGACTGTCGGGGTGTTCATGATCATTCTTCATTGTGGTAATATGACTGTCTGGGTGTTCGTGATCATTCTTCATTGTGGTAATATGACTGTCTGGGTGTTCGAGATCAATCTTCATTGTGATAATATGACTGTCGGGTCGTTCTTGATCATTCTTCATTGTGGTAAAATGACTGTCAGGGTGTTCGTGATCATTCTTCATTGTGGTAATATGACTGTCAGGGTGTTCGTGATCACTCTTCATTCTGGTAATATGACTGTCTGGGTGTTCGAGATCATTCTTCATTGGGGTCACATGAGTGTTAGATGGGTGTCAGTGCGATGTAGGCTTGTAATATACCAGTATTTGATGGGTGTCAGTGTGATGTAGGCTTGTAATACACCAGCGTTTGATAGGTGTCAGTGTGATGTAGGCTTGTAATATACCAGTGTTAGATGGGTGTCAGTGTGATGTAGGCTTGTAATATACCAGTGTTTGATGGGTGTCAGTGTGATGTAGGCTTGTAATATACCAGTGTTAGATTGGCGACAGTGTGATGTAGGCTTGTAATACACCAGTGTTAGATGGGTGTCAGTGTGATGTAGGCTTGTAATATACCAGTGTTAGATTGGCGACAGTGTGATGTAGGCTTGTAATACACCAGTGTTAGATGGGTGTCAGTGTGATGTAGGCTTGTAATATACCAGTGTTTGATGGGTGTCAGTGTGATGTAGGCTTGTAATATACCAGTGTTAGATTAGCGACAGTGTGATGTAGGCTTATAATACACCAGTGTTAGATGGGTGTCAGTGTGATGTAGGCTTGTAATACACCAGTGTTTGATGGGTGTCAGTGTGATGTAGGGTGACTACACACCAGTGTTAGATGGGTGTCAGTGTGATGTAGGCTTGTAATACACTAGTGTTAGATGGGTGTCAGTGTGATGTAGGGTGACTACACACCAGTGTTAGATTGGTGTCAGTTTGATGTAGGGTGACTACACACCAGTGTTAGATGGGTGTCAGTGTGATGTAGGGTGACTGCACACCAGTGTTAGATGGGTGTCAGTGTGATGTAGGCTTGTAATACACCAGTGTTAGATGGGTGTCAGTGTGATGTAGGGTGACTACACACCAGTGTTAGATGGGTGTCAGTGTGATGTAGGGTGATTATACACCAGTGTTAGATGGGTGTCAGTGTGATGTAGGGTGACTACACACCAGTGTTAGATGGGTGTCAGTGTGATGTAGGGTGACTACACACCAGTGTTAGATGGGTGTCAGTGTGATGTAGGCTTGTAATACGCCAGTGTTAGATGGGTGTCAGTGTGATGTAGAGTGACTATACACCAGTGTTAGATGGGTGTCAGTGTGATGTAGGGTGACTACACACTCTTGCTAGATGGTTGTCAGTGTGATGTAGGCTTGTAATACACAAGTGTAAGATGGGTCTCACTGTGATGTAGGCTTGTAATACACTAGTGTTAGATGGGTGTCAGTGTGATGTAGGGTGACTACACACCAGTGTTAGATGGGTGTCAGTGTGATGTAGGGTGACTACACACCAGTGTAAGATGGGTGTAAGTGTGATGTAGGGTGACTACACACCAGTGTTAGATGGGTGTCAGTGTGATGTAGGCTTGTAATACACCAGTGTTCGATGGGTGTCAGTGTGATGTAGGGTGACTACACACCAGTGTTAGATGGGTGTCAGTGTGATGTAGGCTTGTAATACACTAGTGTTAGATGGGTGTCAGTGTGAGTAGGGTGACTACACACCAGTGTTAGATTGGTGTCAGTGTGATGTAGGGTGACTACACACCAGTGTTAGATGGGTGTCAGTGTGATGTAGGGTGACTACACACCAATGATAGATGGGTGTCAGTGTGATGTAGGCTTGTAATACACCAGTGTTCGATGGGTGTCAGTGTGACGTAGGGTGACTACACACCAGTGTTAGATGGGTGTCAGTGTGATGTAGGGTGACTACACACCAGTGTTAGATGGGTGTCAGTGTGATGTAGGCTTGTAATACACCAGTGTTAGATGGGTGTCAGTGTGACGTAGGGTGACTACACACCAGTGTTAGATGGGTGTCAGTGTGATGTAGGGTGACTACACACCAGTGTTAGATGGGTGTCAGTGTGATGTAGGCTTGTAATACACCAGTGTTCGATGTGTGTCAGTGTGACGTAGCGTGACTACACACCAGTGTTAGATGGGTGTCAGTGTGATGTAGGCTTGTAATACGCCAGTGTTAGATGGGTGTCAGTGTGATGTAGAGTGACTATACACCAGTGTTAGATGGGTGTCAGTGTGATGTAGGGTGACTACACACTCTTGTTAGATGGTTGTCAGTGGGATGTAGGCTTGTAATACACCAGTGTAAGATGGGTGTCAGTGTGATGAAGGCTTGTAATACACCAGTGTTAGATGGGTGTCAGTTTGATGTAGAGTGACTATACACCAGTGTAAGATGGGTGTCAGTGTGAAGTAGGGTGACTATACACCAGTGTTAGATGGGTGTCAGTGTGATGTAGGGTGACTATACACCAGTGTTAGATGGGTGTCAGTGTGATGTAGGGTGATTATACACCAGTGTTAGATGGGTGTCAGTGTGATGAAGAGCGACTATACACCAGTAGTAGATGGGTGTCAGTGTGATGTAGGATGACTATACGCCAGTGTCAGATGGGTGTCAGTGTGATGTGGGATGACTATACGCCAGTGTCAGATGGGTGAAAGTGTGATGTAGGCTTATAATACACCAGTGTTAGATTGGCGACAGTGCGATGTAGGCTTGTAATACACCAGTGTTAGATGGGTGTCAGTGTGATGTAGGCTTGTAATACACCAGTGTTAGATGGGTGTCACTGTGATGTAGGCTTGTAATACACCAGTGTTAGATGGGTGTCAGTGTGACGTAGGCTTCTAATACACCAATGTTAGATGGATGTCAGTGTGATGTAAGCTTGTTATATATCAGTGTTAGATGTGTGACAGTGTGATGTAGGCTTGTAATACACCAGTGTTAGATTGGTGACAGTGTGATGTGCGCTTGTAATACATCAGTGTTAGATGGGTGTCAGTGTGATGTAGGCTTGTAATACATCAGTGTTAGATGGTTGTCAGTGTGATGTAGGCTTGTAATACACCGGTGTTAGATGGGTGTCAGTGTGATGTAGGCTTGTAATACATCAGTGTTAGATGGGTGTCAGTGTGATGTAGGCTTGTAATATATCAGTGTAAAATGGGGTGCCAGTGTGATATAGGGTGAGTATACACCAGTGTTAGATGGGTGTCAGTGTTATGTAGGGTGACTATACACCAGTGTAAGATGGGTGTCACTGTGATGTAGGGAGACTATACACCAGTGTTAGATGGGTGTCAGTGTGATGTAGGGTGAATATACACCAGTGTCAGATGGGTGACAGTGTGATGTAGGCTTGTAATACACCGGTGTTAGATGGGTGTCAGTGTGATGTAGGCTTGTAATACATCAGTGTTAGATGGGTGTCAGTGTGATGTAGGCTTGTAATATATCAGTGTAAAATGGGGTGCCAGTGTGATATAGGGTGAGTATACACCAGTGTCAGATGGGTGACAGTGTGATGTAGGCTTGTAATATACCAGTGTTAGATTGGCGACAGTGTGATGTAGGCTTGTAATACACCGGTGTTAGATGGGTGTCAGTGTCATGTAGGCTTGTAATATACCAGTCTTACATGGGTGTCAGTGTGATGTAGGCTTGTAATACATCAGTGTTAGATGGGTGTCAGTGTGATGTAGGCTTGTAATACACCGATGTTTGATGGGTGAAAGTGTGGTGTAGGCTTGTAATACACCGGTGTTAGATGGGTGTCAGTGTGATGTAGGATTGTAATACATCAGTGTTAGATGGTTGTCAGTGTGATGTAGGCTTGTAATACACCAGTGTTAGATGGGTGTCAGTGTGATGTAGGCTTGTAATACACCAGTGTTAGATGGTTGTCAGTGTGATGTAGGCTTGTAATACACCAGTGTTAGATGGTTGTCAGTGTGATGAAGGCTTGTAATACACCAGTGTTAGATGTTTGTCAATGTGATGTAGGGTGACTATACACCAGTGTTAGATGGTTGTCAGTGTGATGAAGGCTTGTAATACACCAGTGTTAGATGTTTGTCAATGTGATGTAGGGTGACTATACACCAGTGTTGGATGGGTGTCAGTGTGATATAGGGTGAGTATACACCAGTGTTAGATGGGTGTCAGTGTTATGTAGGGTGACTATACACCAGTGTAAGATGGGTGTCACTGTGATGTAGGGAGACTATACACCAGTGTTAGATGGGTGTCAGTGTGATGTAGGGTGAATATACACCAGTGTCAGATGGGTGACAGTGTGATGTAGGCTTGTAATACACCGGTGTTAGATGGGTGTCAGTGTGATGTAGGCTTGTAATACATCAGTGTTAGATGGGTGTCAGTGTGATGTAGGCTTGTAATATATCAGTGTAAAATGGGGTGCCAGTGTGATATAGGGTGAGTATACACCAGTGTCAGATGGGTGACAGTGTGATGTAGGCTTGTAATATACCAGTGTTAGATTGGCGACAGTGTGATGTAGGCTTGTAATACACCGGTGTTAGATGGGTGTCAGTGTCATGTAGGCTTGTAATATACCAGTCTTACATGGGTGTCAGTGTGATGTAGGCTTGTAATACATCAGTGTTAGATGGGTGTCAGTGTGATGTAGGCTTGTAATACACCGATGTTTGATGGGTGAAAGTGTGGTGTAGGCTTGTAATACACCGGTGTTAGATGGGTGTCAGTGTGATGTAGGATTGTAATACATCAGTGTTAGATGGTTGTCAGTGTGATGTAGGCTTGTAATACACCAGTGTTAGATGGGTGTCAGTGTGATGTAGGCTTGTAATACACCAGTGTTAGATGGTTGTCAGTGTGATGTAGGCTTGTAATACACCAGTGTTAGATGGTTGTCAGTGTGATGAAGGCTTGTAATACACCAGTGTTAGATGTTTGTCAATGTGATGTAGGGTGACTATACACCAGTGTTAGATGGTTGTCAGTGTGATGAAGGCTTGTAATACACCAGTGTTAGATGTTTGTCAATGTGATGTAGGGTGACTATACACCAGTGTTGGATGGGTGTCAGTGTGATGTAGGGTGAATATACACCAGTGTTAGATGGGTGTCTATGTGATGTAGGGCGACTCTGCAGGTGTCATGGGTTCCCCAGGAATGTTGGCAGATCATAATTCGTTGTAACTCTTGTCCTCAATGGTCACTGTTGGAACTTGGATTGAGTTCAAGAAAAGGGTATGTTACTTGTTATTCGTTGTTTGTACTGCTACATTTGCTGAAATAGTGGGTTAAGCATGAACATGTCGATGAACTAACTGTCCACACCCTAGGCGTTAATTTGGCAAGTGGTAAGCGCCATGTCACACCCCCAATGTCGGGATGAGCTAGTCATGGTTATGGCTGCTGACAGTGGTCCCTGGGCGCATGTTCACCGAGCTTACAGGACATGGAACTAGATTCACATCAAGTATTGATTTTCCACATTGCTCTAAAACCTTGCCCGTAGCAAGACCGAGGTCTAAATGTGGACATTGTTCATACAAATAGCTGCAGAAAAATACCAGAGATCACAGAGGGCGGTGAACAAAGAACTGAGTAGTTACTTTGAAATAGTTGTGTTCTATCAGGCTGTCTTCATATCCCTCGACCAGACTGTATCTCTCCAGTAGGCTGTTTATCTGTCTGTGTGTCGTCATGCCTGTCGCCTGCATAATGTCTGCCTCACTCACCTGCAGACCGTCAACAGATCAGCTTCACCCTCGAGCAGACTGTCTGTCTGCCTACAGGGCTACTGTTTGTGGCGGCTACGCATAATGTCTCTATGCTTCACGGTTCGTCTATCAGTTAGCGTCAGCTGTCCTTTCACGAACATGCAGATATACTCGTATTTATCGAAAAGTTCTATGTGAACAGAATTTTCTCCAGTATCACGGTATCGAATTTGTGATTTCATGTTCAAAATGTCAGGCATTAATAAAAGATTTGGTGAATATACATTGCACTTATCATATAGTGTGCGTCACGTGTCGAAGCACGTCAGGAACATCTATTATAATCAGAGTGTATGTGGCAATTTTTCTGAAGTCATGTGACCGGCTATTTCTTCCTATGGAACACTGTTGAAAACCGATGACATGAACATACCATCCACATGTAATTGTCTTTTGATACTTGATCCTTCGATAGTAAACTCTCTGGATTGGTGTAATGTAGTCCCTCTTGGTTACCATGGCAACACATGACCCATTCCGCCCAATGCCGTAAACGTCTCGCCCCATCTTGACTTCCGGGGAGGTTTTGCCTGGCAACTTGGAGATGTATAATATCGTACGTGCGAGAATAGGTCGTGATGAGTGGCCCCGGGGCTTGAGCTTCATTATGATGAATTGTAGTCTGGCTATGACTGCCATATTTATCTATACCACGAGTGAGTGCGTAAGGTAATCGACATTTTCTAGGTCTAGTATTACGTCACACAGACTGAAAGAATGTTGAAATATGCAATCGCTATGTTGTTCAGTGCTCCAGGTTTTGTAACCAGGGACCTATGTCATATTCCACACGTTTCAAATATATTTGTCATGGACATTATGCTAAATAGGTTTGAAATCGTTAGTTGTTACCTGGCTGCATGTCATGAAATCCACAAACTTAAGACAAGACAGAATTCTTTGTTCACAATGCTAAATGATAAATATAGCGGCATATTCTGAGAAGTGAAAGCGTGAAAAGCTGCGTGTAGTGTGCTGCACTGGCAACAAGGAGGAGCCTGACGCCGGCACCGTCCTAACCATACCGCAACCCCAGCCAGTATAGCACACCTTCCATATAAACAGTGAACTTGCTCATAACAAACAGCAGCGTTTGATGTAAAATATCCTTACCTAAAGAAAGCTAGTTGGTTAAAATCCTTTCGAGAATATTCCTAGACTAGAGCAATATTGGTCGTCTCGTGAATAATGCGCCGGTAGCGGTGTACATTCCCCGTGCTGGCCAGTACGCATGTGTGGGAAATATCAATACTTGCAGTGATCGCCGCACTGTGCACGTTGCTGCTTGCCGGTGGCGCCACTCTCAGTGGATGTAGATTGTGCTTCACTTAACCATGTATTCATAGAAAGGACATCGTTGCGTTTGCGCACTACAAAACAAGCAAAAAGTATACTTTTTTCTAAACCCTACATTCCGACAAATCGACATAAAGACGTTTTGATCATTTGTCGCTTTGTCTCGCTTGGAATAATATTTTTGTTATTTACCAAGGGGCGACAACGCGACATTCTTCAAGGTCAAAATATACCGGGTTGTCAAATTGTAGCCCTATCTAAAAGCGTACGAAAAGGTGACAACGCGATATATCGATACTGTTGCATTGTCTCCTTGTCCTTTTAATGATGTGTATGTGTAGTCAGTGAAATAATCTGTGCATGCAATGAAATGTCCAATTGCAATGTATAACTCATCGATCTCGCTGTGATGCATAACTCACTGATCTCGCTGTCAAGTATAACTCACCGATCTCGCTGTCATGTATAACACACCGATCTTCCTGTGATGTATAACTCACCGATCTCGCTGTGTTGTATAACTCACCGATCTCGCGGTGATGTATAAGTCACCGATCTCGCTCTGATGTATAACTCACCGATCTCGCGGTGATGTATAACTCGCCGATCTCGCTGTGATGTATAACTCACCGATCTCGCTGAGATGCATAAATCACTGATCTCGCTGTCAAGTATAACTCACTGATCTTGCTGTGATGTATAACTCACCGATCTCGCTGTGATGTATAACTCACCGATCTCGCTGTGATGTATAACTCACCGATCTTGCTGTGATGTATCACTCACCGATCTCGCTGTGATGCATAACTCACCGATCTCGCTGTGATGTATAACTCACCGATCTTGCTGTGATGTATAACTCACTGATCTTGCTGTGAACTCGCCGATCTCACTGTGATGTATAACTCACCGATCTTGCTGTGATGTATAACTCACCGATCTCGCTGTCAAGTATAACTCACCGACCTCGCTATGATGTATAACTCACTGATCTTGCTGTGATGTAGAATTCACCAATCTCGCTGTCATGTATAACTCCCCAATCTTGCTGTGATGTATAACTCACAGATCTCGCTCTCATGTATAACTCACCGATCTCGCTGTCATGTATAACTCATCTGTATAGTATAACAGATCGAACTTTCTGTATAACTACCACACTAGCATACATACACGAAAATTGGCAAAATTGGTGTCACATTTACACGGACGGATCCTCAGATCCGACCTCCAAACACACAGGTTTCGGAGTCCATACCACACAACCAACTAAAACCACACAATCTTTCCGACTCCCAAACAACCAATCAATATTCACGGCAGAACTAATGGGCATGGCCTCAGCCCTCCCTAATCAAGAATCCAAAAACCACCAAAAAATCCTAATACTTACCGACTCCCTAAGTGGACTGCAAGCCCTCCAAAACAAAATTACCAAAAACAGACCTAAATTAATAAATCAAATACTTAAAAGCTCCAACGACCTAACTAAGGCAGGCAAACAAATAACCTTCTTGTGGATACCCGCCCACGTAGGAATATACGGTAATGAAAACGCCGATAAAGCAGCTAAACTATCCCTCAAAATCCCAGAAATAAGCTTAAACATACCCATCTCAAAATCAGAAATTAAAAGTGTAAACAAGCAAAAAATCACAAAAAATGGCATAACCTTTCTCTAAACTCAAATAACCAAATCAAAAAAGTGCTCAGCAAACCACTAACCAAACCAAAAATTCGCCATCCATCAAAAACAATCGGCAGAGTAATCACTAAACTCCAAACAGGACACACCAACCTAAATAACCACCTAAATTTTTTTTTAAAAAACACTACAGGTAACTGCCCACACTGCAAACAACCAGAAACCCCAGAACACGCACTCATCCACTGCACACACTACCTAACACATCGAACCGCATTACAAACCACCCTCAATCTAAACAAGGCTCTCACTCTAGAAGCAATACTAAACCCACAAAATAAACTGGAAAACTTCAAAGCCTTAGGCGTATTCTTAATAAAAACGGAACTAATAAAACGCATCTAAAAACACAATAACATACCAAATCAAAATCACATAAACAAACAAACATCCACCATATCCAGCTCCCTTAGTTCTCCTCCCCAACCCCATCGGCATCTATTCCAAATCTCAAATTCCCAAATTCTAAATAAGCAACCCCTAAACCCCCCTCTTGGGTTGCACTGACCACTTTCTCCCCTTTCGCAAACACATTAAATGGCCTGGCCGGGCCTGTGTGCGAAATAGGCATCATTCGGAAAGCGCACGTTAAATCTCCAAAGTAAGTAAGTAAGTATAGAAAAACAGATCGAACCAGCTGTATAGTATAACAGACCGAACTTGCTGTATAGTATAACAGATCGAACTAGCTGTATACTATAACTGATCGAACTAGCTGTATAGTATAACAGATCGAAATAGCTGTATAGTATAACATATCAAACTAGCTGTATAGTAAAAGAGATCGAGGTATCTGTATAGTATAACAGATCGAACTAGCTGTATAGTATAACAGATCGAGGTATGTGTATAGTATAACAGATCGAGGTAGCTGTATAGTATAACAGATCGAAATAGCTGTAGAGTATAACAGATCGAACTAGCTTTATAGTATAACAGATCGAGGTTGCTGTAGAGTACAACAGATCGAACCTTCTGTATAGAAGAACAGATCGAACTTACTGTATAGTATAACAGATCGAGGTAGATCGAGGTAGCTGTATATTATAACAGATCGAGGTAGCTGTATGGTATAACAGATCGAACTAGCTGTACAGTATAACAGTTCGAGGAAACTGTATAGTATAACAGATCGAGGTAGCTGTATAGTATAACAGATCGAGGTAGATGTATAGTATAACCGTTTGAGGTAGCTGAATAGTATAACAGTTCGAGGAAACTGTGTAGTATAACAGATCGAACTAGCTGTATAGTATAACACATCGAGGTAGCTGTATAGTAAAACAGATCGAGGTATCTGTATAGTATAAGAGGTCGAACTATCTGTATAGTATAACAGATCGAGGTAGCTGTAGAGTATAACAGATCGAACTAGCTGTATAGTACAAGAGATCGAAATAGCTGTATAGTACAACAGATCGAACTTGCTGTATAGTACAACAGATCGAACTTGCTGTATAGTATAACAGATCGAGGTAGCTGTATAGTATAACAGTTTGAGGTAGCTAAATAGTATAACAGTTCGAGGAAACTGTATAGTGAAAACAGATCGAACTAGCTGTATAGTATAACAGATCGAGGTAGCTGTATAGTAAAACAGATCGAGGTATCTGTATAGTATAAGAGGTCGAACTATCTGTATAGTATAACAGATCGAGGTAGCTGTAGAGTATAACAGATCGAACTAGCTGTATAGTACAAGAGATCGAAATAGCTGTATAGTTCAACAGATCGAACTTGCTGTATAGTACAACAGATCGAACTTGCTGTATAGTATAACAGATCGAGGTAGCTGTATAGTATAACAGTTTGAGGTAGCTAAATAGTATAAGAGTTCGAGGAAACTGTATAGTAAAACAGATCGAACTAGCTGTATAGTATAACACATCGAGGTAGCTGTATAGTAAAACAGATCGAGGTATTTGTATAGTATAAGAGATCGAACTAGCTGTATACTATAACATATCGAGGTAGCTGTAGAGTATAACAGATCGAACTAGCTGTATAGTACAAGCGATGGAACTAGCTGTATAGTACAACAGATCGAACTTGCTGTATAGTTTAACAGATCGAGGTAGCTGTAGAGTATAACAGATCGAACTTGCTGTATAGAAGAACAGATCGAACTAGCTGTATAGTATAACAGATCGAGGTAGCTGTATTGTAAAACAGATCGAGGTATCTGTATAGTACAAGAGATCGAACTAGCTGTATAGTATAGCAGATCGAGGTATGTGTATAGTATAACAGATCGAGGTAGCTGTATAGTATAACAGATCGAGGTAGCTGTATAGTATAACAGATCGAGGTATGTGTATTGTATAACAGATCGACGTAGCTGTATAGTATAACAGATCGAGGTATCTGTATAGTAAAACAGATCGAACTTGCTGTATAGCATAACAGATCGAGGTAGCTGTTGAGTATAACAGATCGAACTTGCTGTATAGTATAAAAGATCGAGGTAGATCGAGATAGCTGTATATTATAACAGATCGAGGTAGCTGTATGGTATAACAGATCGAACTAGCTGTACAGTATTACAGTTCGAGGAAACTGTATAGTATAACAGATCGAGGTATCTGTATAGTATAACAGATCGAGGTAGCTGTATAGTATAACAGTTTGAGGTAGCTGAATAGTATAACATTTCGAGGAAACTGTATAGTATAACAGATCGAACTAGCTGTATGGTATAACAGATCGAGGTAGCTGTATAGTAAAACAGATCGAGGTATCTGTATTGTATAACAGATCGAAATAGCTGTATAGTATAACAGATCGAGGTAGCTGTAGAGTATAACAGATCGAACTAGCTGTATAGTATAACAGATCGAACTTGCTGTATAGAAGAACAGATCGAACTTACTCTATAGTATAACAGATCGAGGTAGATCGAGGTAGCTGTATATTATAACAGATCGAGGTAGCTGTATGGTATAACAGATCGAACTTGCTTTATAATATAACAGATCGAACTAGCTATATAGTATAACAGATCGAACTAGCTGTATAGTATAACTGATCGAACTTGGTGTATAGTATAACAGATCGAGGTATCTGTAATGCACAACACACAAAACTAGTTGTAAAGTAAGTGAGACCGAACTAGCTGTTACAACTACATTCGTTGTATAACAGCTGGAACTAGCCGTAGTGCATTAACAAGCCGAATTACCTGTAAGATATAACACACAGAACTAAGCTGTATAGTATACAAGATCGAACTAGCAGAACAAGTTGCATACACCGGAATG